CATCTATATAATCAATATAGAAGTTTTGGATTAAGGGCATTTGCAAAGGAGATAATGCTGAATATATTTGTGTAAAGTAAATGTTTTTTTTTCATAATTAGATTACCGGTTTATTGTTTATTTTTATTATGCGTTCCACTTATATCAGGGAACCCACCTTTAAGTTAGTTGTGCTTTAGACTGATCAACCATGAAAAAGCCTCACCAAATGAATATATATCTTTCAGTATCTGTCTATATTTCTGAGATGAGGTATTATGTACACTATTTACAGTGTTCAGACTATCATCCTTATCTTTGTTGCCATATTTATCACAACGTTTCGGCTGTTGTACGCTCCGGCCTTCTTCAGGTGGTTGGAATGTCGAACTGAACCCTTTATTTCACTCGCTGGGGTAGACTGTTCTAGTTCCACGTGCCATGTCTAATGGATTTCAGTTATCAGTTATCTCCTGTTAATTCTCCTCTCCGAGTTCTCCACCGCCTTAACCAGGTATTGAAATCACACTCTTTGGGTCCTGTCACTGGATCTAACTAGCACTTTTATCCACTGTGCCATGTGTCCTTGAAGGTTCAGTTCAACATTCCAACCACCTGAAGAAGGTCGGAGCATACAACGGTCGAAACGTTGTGATAAATATGGCAACAAAGATGAGGATGATAGTCCGAACAATGTAAATCTTTCGTTGGGATTTTTTGAAGCCAAAATCCGCTAACTATATTTTTTATAACCGAAACGTCATTTCAAAGGAACTACAGGATTTTTAAAAATCCAACATTATTTCTTTTTTTTTCTTCCTATAATAAACATTATTCTTAGTGAATACACATGTTTAAGTAGACATTCTTATATGTGCTGTTTTAATCTTTTAACAGCCTAGTTGATTTACGTAAATATAATATTCAGCATAGAATAATTAAATCTATGGATTTATATATAAACTATTTACATTCGGCTTATTGTCCTCATCTTTGTTGTTTTTATCACAACGTTTCGACCGCTGTACCCCCCGGCTTAATCAGATGTATAATGATCTGGATAACTTACAAAGAATTCTGAACTGGAACATTTAATTAATCTACGGGGGTAGACTGTTCCCTATGTCTAGGGATATGTCGTTGACTTCTTATTTTTTAGTACTGCACGATTATTGCTCGCCATATTTCCTGAGTCCAGGTACACACTGTCCGACCAAGGACAACAGCATAGTTTTAACAGGACTAAAAATAAGAACCAGACGAGATATCCGTAGACATCAGTAGTGGGAACGAGACCAGCCTACATCCGTAGATTAAATAAAGAGTTCAGTTCAGAGTTCCCTGTAAAGTACCCGGATCGATATACAAATGGTGAAGGCCGGAGGGCACATCGGCTAAAGACGAATACAATAGTCCCAATGTAAATACTGTAGATAATGATAATTCCTCACCCCAGAAATTCAGAGAGAACCTATTGATCTTTATTTCTTCCCGTAAAAGATTACGGTAGAGAATCGGCTGTAAGAATTTTATTTCTGTGTTTTTCAAATAATGGAGTATTTCCGTTCATGAATACTTTGGTCAATGCCTTGAATGGCAAAATAGTTTCACAGTCTGTTGATAGTGAGTTTTTCTTTATTGCATGGGTGTGCAGGTGGTGTAATGAATAGCGGCTTGGTATGAGAAACCGAGGACCGAGTTCGAATTCCATTTGAGTTCATGCAAATAACGAATTCATATCCTCCCCTAGATTAAATAGCAGGAATCATATCTGGAAAAAATCATCGACATTCTCAAAAAATCTTATTGCAATATTCACTCGCAAAAAAAAAGAAAAGAATCATTCTTACATATTATATAGATATGTTTCGACTTTAAATAATCCATACAGGTTGGTAAGCCGTAAAAAGAAAACAAATCAATCAACCCTTATTGTATTCCTCAGTAATAGATTGTAGATATTTACTAGAAAGTTTTTTTTTCTGGTACAGATTTATAATGTTTGGTTATCCAATGAGGATAATAATGCACGGTGCAATGATTTTTTTAAAGCAAAACACCCCAAGCAAGGCGGGAGTGCCACTAGCACGCAAGGGGTTACAGAGAGTGAGAGTAAGAGTAAAGAGGAGTGTTTGGGAAAAGGATAAAGAGAAGGACAGGGATCAAAGGTCAATCATCAGAAGATGTCGATTGACACTACATTTGAATATTTGAAGATTATAGCCACCAGGGAAGCAAGTGATAGGAAGGGAGTTTCATTGACGAGAGGTGCGAGATAAGAAGCTGTTGGAGTAGAAGAGATGGATACATTTAGTCGTTTCAACAACCTAGTAGCACGCTTAAATTCATGCAGTTTGGGAACCAGCGAAAGTAGCTCGTCGGAGCAGTTGCCATGTAAGTACTTGTAGAAAATTGCGAGAATAATTTAATATCTGCTCAACAACAGGAGCAATCCATAAACTGTTTTTTTTTTTTTTTTAAATTTTTTTTATATCCAGAATGAAGTCCAGAATACCAAAGTCGCAAAAATAAAATGAAGAAAAAAGAAAAAGAAAAAAGAAAATGATTCCGTTAACTTTGGATTAATCGACAGTAAAATCTTTACCGTGTTGGGCAATTCATTATTCCTTTCTCTTATTCTATGAAAGAATTTTGTGAAATAGAATCTGTTTTTATATTGTATTATCTATTTTTTATAGTTTAAATTAACATTTCAAATCTTTTGTTAAGGGGGCAAGGCTACAAAAAAGAATCTGTGTCGCCTGATTAGCATATCACAAATAAATATGATAATGGTGGGCAATATACAAAGAACGGAGTGAAAGAAAAATAAGACCTCACCCAACGGAGCATGGTTCCGAGCCTCCTGGTAAACCTTGTTCCAAAATAAGAAACAAAGTGAGGCGAATAAAGGCATAACTTATTATACACACGTCTCCAATTCTTTTCCATTAGTCAGGACTGAGATGAAAAATACATAAGTTTAAGAGTGATGTGTTTTCTACAATTTCCGAGATAGCCCAGCGTCTTTTCTGTTGAAAAAAGAATTTGCCGGGGGGTTGAGGAAAAACAGTCATGCGGCAAAAGATCAAAAAATAATTTTTTTTTTTTTTTTTTAGCAGAGAATCCGAATTGCCTCTTAACGATAGAGTTAGGGTCAATTTTCGATCGCCATTCCAACCTGTACACGTATTTCCAATAAATCCGTTCCAGATGCGGGTTGATCTCAAGCTGAAGATTTAGACCTTTGTCCACTCATATGAAAGAGGTCGAGATTACACACATTCAACAACCTATAGAATTAGTTGTAGTTTATTATGTCTGTAACTAGTACGCCAGAAGTAGGTTTGGTTTAATGGTTAGAACAGCGGATGTCAACAGTTGGGCTTCCCCTTTTTTTTCGAATACTAAGCTAGGAAAAAAAACAAACCCAAAACAACAAAACGCCCACATTTTAAAAAAATCATGTTACATTATAGGATCTATAATGTACTCTCTTTCAAATAAATGCTTCCAATAAATAAACAGTTGAGATTTTGAGTCTGTTTAAATGAAAACTAATTCAAAGGATCAATACTTTATATTTGTATTGTATTGACGAGAATACATATTATATTTGTATTGAAAAGGTTGCATCAATATGTATTATACTGAAGAGAATATATATTTTTATTATATTGGGGGAATACACATATTTGTAATGAAAAGGACACAATATATGTATTATATTGAAGGGAATATATATTTGTATTATACTGGAGAGAATACATATATTTTATTGAAAAGGCTACAATATATGTATTATACTGAAGAAAATATATATTATATTTAAATTAAATAGAAAAGAATAATTATATCTGAATATATTAATATGGATATATATTATATTTATTTGTATTATGTCGAATAATGTTTATATATATATATATATATATATATATATATATATATATATATGAACAGTATACGCTATTGTATAATATTGAAGAGTATATATTTTAATTATATTTAAGAGAATACATATTATATTTGTATTGTATTAACGAAGATATAAATTACATTTGTATTATACCGAAGAGAATAGTTTTTGTATTATATTGTAAAATTTACATATTATTTTTGTATTAAAAGAGAATCAAATTATATTTGAAATATTTTCTATTTGTATTATCAATTTCTATATTTATATTTTTATGTACTTCTGATTATGGTAAAAATCTATGAAAAAAAAAAAAAGGATTCCAATTTATTTTCCGATGAGTTGATTTATTATTTTAATTGGTGCATAAAATTCACCTCCTACTTGAAAACACGTGTAAATAACTTAGTATAATTACAGTGTTTACATGATTCAATGGTGACTCAGAGATACGATAGTTTCTAAATACAAAATACGTTAATGTTAGTAATAGTGGAATGAATTTCTCTCATCCGGGTTAATTCGCTACAGGTCAGACAGTCATAATGAACTTTCTATTCATTTTATGATCATGTGGAAAAAATTACGTTTCGGTGATTTTTTTTTCACTAAAGGTTGACTGCCACTTTTATTGTCCTTGTTTTGTCGTTCTGAAATTCCAGTTTTTTTCTCAGTGGAGATAATAAAACTCGTTATTCATTTCACTGTATAGAATTCTTATAAATGTAGCATATTTTATTGGCATTTTTAGCTGATCTTAGAAGCAGCGCTGTATCTACCTTGAAGGAAACGTTTCTTTATTTTTAATAAACTAATTTAACATTTCCATTTTAGTGGGTTTTTTTTTTTTATTTAGCGGCATATCAACTCTGTAGATTATTTAACGCCGAAATTTAAATATTTTGTACGCATATTTTTGTGGGTGAGATAATAATATTTTTAGTGATACAAGTTTTACTAATTAACCTATAGCTGCGGGGGGAGGGGAAAGAGGTGGATTCCTAGCTTTCCTAAGAGCATTTGCGCATAAGTGAATATAACAAACCCAACTGGAATTGGAACTCGACTCTCCGATTTCCAATTTCGAGCCATTATCCAAGTTTACAGGACCTGGTATTCCTAAGTGATCATGCATCTAGGTACTGACCAGGATCGACGATGCTTAACTTTGGTGATCGTACGGGAACCAGTGTTTCAACGTGATGTGGCCGTAAGCAATTTTGGAGGTGATTTATTCAGTTACAGAATATAAAGAATAAAACATATCTATTTCGAGCTCATTTCCACCGACTGAGTTTATTTAATTTCTTTATAAAATTGTGGGGTGAAGCATTATCATTATTTGCATAATTTATATTTAGACTATTATCCTCACCTTTGTTGTTATCACAACATTTCAGTCGTTGTACTCTGCGGCCTTCTTCAGGTGTATATTTTTAATTTTAATGCTGCTCATTTGTTGCTCGCCATGTTTCCACTGAGTTCAAGTACACTGCCCAGCACAATCGCCTTGTGGATTAAATGCGTTGGTTCGTGAATTTGGTGACATATTGATTGTATTTTAATCCCTGTACTTGGACTCAGTGAAAACGGGCGAGCAATAACTGAGCTGTACGAACAATAAGAATTAGATGAGATGTGCCTAGACATGCGCAGCGGAACGAGAACGGTCTACTCCTGTAGATTACCCAGATCAATATATAACTGAGGAAGGCCGGAGAGCACAGAGGTCGAAATGTTCTGGTAATAACAGCGAAGATGAATACAATGCTCCGAATATAGATAGTACAAATAATAATAAGTCCCCATCCCATAAATTCAGACAGAAATTAAATAAACTCAGTATGTGGAAATTTGTTTGACTAGTATAATTAATGAGTTTTAATTAGAATTAAAAAAAATGTATTAAGTAAACTTGACACAATGAATGATTGAAACGAGAATGTAAGAGAAGACATGATCTATCTCCTAGAATCTGCATATTTGAAAGATTTGTTCAGTTTTGGCACGAACACGTTTATTTTCGAAAATCTTCAGTTTTCCCGCCATGGTCTTCGAAAACCTTTTTTTATTGGTAGTTCGCACCAGAAATTTATAACTAGCGTAATTGAAAATAATATTTACAGCTAAAAAAAAAATCGATTCTGTGCGTCAGTTTCATCGTGCCTCAATATAGATTTATTTTTTTAATCTAATAACCTTTGAGAAAACACTTTCGATTTCAATTACTGAAAAGATTATATCATTACGCCTTGTGCGTGCAATATTTTCCTTCATCATTATATCAGCAAGTAAAATTAACTACTTTTATTTGGCAATCGTTCAACTCATGATTTACTAATGTAATTAATAAAATTACAGTTAACGGATTCTCACTTAACACGTGGGAGTGCTAATTGATTCTATTGTTAAGAGTGAAACAGGAATCTCAAAACTATTAATGATAATTAACAGCGTCATGTTTTATTTGTTCTCCAGATTTTTCTGTTCAAAATTCACTTTTCTTATTTTTTGCACTTATTAGATATTTGTCAAGTCTATGAGATTGGTGCAGCAAAAATTAAATATTGTCAAAATTAAGTGGAATTTATATACATCTAAATAACATCAAAATGACATCTTCAAATCAATTATACTGTCATACTATTCTTATCTAGCGGAATACGATTTGAGATGGAAGGGGCGGGTTAGCTATAACGGTCATTACCAGAGAAACCAGAATTGGTGAACAAAGTACGGTTTTCTGTTGAGATAGCCATAGGTTCACTTCAGACTGATGTTTTTTGGGAGACGCTATGAATGTATTTGTCTTATTGTTTTGTTTAATCACCAGATATATTGACAAAATATCTTGTCACTGATATGCCACAGTGGTTGACAGAAAAGTAAGAAGATAAATGAACATTTAATTCTTCTCTAACTACTTTACATGCTTTAGACAGTAGCAAGAAAAGGCTATTTCTGTCATTGTCAACCTTGACAGACAATATGAGACAAAGAGGATAAATTTTCAAGAGAAACTATCCGTAATATTTGAAGCAGTATTAACATTTTTGGATAAAGGTTAAAATCTGAAATATTGATATTTTCTGAAACAAAAACTCTTGGTTTTCTGATTGATTGGAAAAAAATCTTCCAGTAAAAATGTATTGGATAAGAGGATACGAAAAATAGTGTAGAAGGGTTGGCACTTAGAATTTGACTATTATTTCATATTTACTGTTTTCACTGTCCTCATCTTTGTTGGTTGTATTTTAATGCATGTTCCCAATTAAAGACACTTGCTGTTTCTGAATTTACGATATGCTCTGCATGATACTTTAAACACTTAACTGTTCACCGACATGCCCTGTAAAATTTAGAAGATTTCTTGAAAGGCCTATACATAATTGTGTTAAATAGCTTTCACACGTGAATGTGCGAGCTGGATTCTATTGACTCGCACCTCCCATTAAGAGAGAAACCTGTAGCGGAAACAGTTGTATGGAACTTCAGAAATTTTAGTCCACCTAAAGAGCAAAATCTGGAAATTCATTTTCTAACTGACAGAGAAGCCGCATAGATCTCCCCGAGGATTCTTCACGCTTCGTTAAAATCTTCAGAATTATTCTGGTACAAGGAGTTGGCAAATGGTTATTTCGTATGGCTTTGTTAAACTACAACACGGAGGATTCGTTCAAAGTTGCTTTTTTATCTTAAATGACAGATCTTTTTTTCTCATTTTGTTTTCTTATCTGATAAAGTAAAGGTTTCTGATAAATAAATAATTTAAAGGAACAATAGATGTAAACATTTTTACAGATATATAAAAATAATTTAAATAAAAGAAGAGAGGAAAACAGTTTTAAAATGGCAGAGTGTAAGTGTTTTGCTCTGCAGTCTCATATTGTCATTGTTATGCGTGGTTTAAAAGTCCACTCAGCCATTGTTGGGTGGAGTATTTTCTCAACAAATAAAATATAAAGAGCGTAAATACAGTGAAAATGGCAGATGATTTAATGTTCCAACAAATGAACTTGATTTAAAAAGCGAAAAGAAAGAGTCAATTATGATTAATTAAATAATATAGATTCTATTTAATAATAGATTATTTGTACAGGTTATAAATATTTTATGCAGTTATAATAGACTACATTAGATATGAAAAGGTTATTATAATATATGTGTAAATTTCTCATTTATATTCTTTGTTTAGATGTATCAGTTATTAATAAAACAGAATCCAATCTAATATGCATTTAAAATTAAAATTAAGAACATTCTAGATTAGCAATTATAAATTACAACGTCCTCAAAATTATTTTACTAATCATTTTATTATAAGCGAAAACCAAATCCAAATATTTCTAAATGTAATTCTTGTTTTCGCTTGAAAAAATCTCAATGGAATGAATTGCAGGCATGAACATTAATCCGAATAAGTGACTATATATATATATATATATATATATATATATATATATATATATATATATGCTTCTACAATTAATTAATCTGGAAAAATATTGATATGATTTTATAATAAAATGAGATAAATATTCCTTCTTATTAACTTAACTTTATTTGCCGCGTTGTGATTTCCGATCAAGCATCAATAAGATCATAAAAAAAGACATTTTTATGGCCGGTACAAATTAATACAGAGATGTAAAATATTTAAAACTTTATAAAAAACGAAATCAATTCTTGTTAGGAATTATTCGTCGAAAATAGTGTTCATAATATATCTTATTCATAAAACAAATAAAAGCTTTTCCAATTAAATAATTTATTAGTTTTATTGCATTTATGATTTACGATTCAGAGCAGAATTGATGATTTAAATTCTCCAAGGATTTCTGCGTATAACTAATATAAATATAAAGCGGTATAAAAATTAATTTCTTAAAATTTCATAAAATTAAATAACTGTGTGTGTGTGAGAGAGAGGGTGGGAGTTAAAATGTTTTTACCAAGATTTTCTAAAAAAATAAAAATATTTAAAATAATTTACTTCATGTTTTAATAAATCCTGAAAATTTCATTTAAATCTGACAATTATTTGATTTTTGTAAGAATTTCTAAATCAGTGTGATTTCAGCGGCAGTTTTCATAGCTTCTACAAAATGTCATTAGATATAATTATCCATAAAGTATCAAATGTGGCCTTGCCTGTGCTCATATGTAACGAGTGATTCTTATGACGCATTCTTTGTTGACAATGGTTTTGAAATTAATAATTGTTTGACGCTTATTACTTGATTCACCACCTGTTTATTGCCAAACTAAAAAGTTAGATTAGCATATTCTCGGTTCAATACCGCCATTTTATAGAATACATTTGTAAAATAGTTTGGTATAGAATTTAAACATGATTCAATTTGAAGGATAAAAAAATGGAGGCTGTATCTATAAAAAACATTGGAAGAATTTGTTTTTCTCTTACTGTAAAATTGTAAATATAAAAAGAATTGCTAACGTTGACTATTCAGTTTCAAAATAATTTTTAGCGTTAGAAAAACAAAATCGATATTTTTTCAATCATATCGCAATTGAAAAAATTGAAGAAAAATTAAATCTTTAATCAAACTAAATCTTTAATCAAACGGAAAATTTAAACTAGACTATGATCAAATGTTAGAACCAATAAACATTCTTTATATTATATGAAGTAATAATAAGGGCAAGATTTAAAATTGATTACCATTTTATAACAGCAACACCTAACGTGATGAGGCCGTGATCCCATACTCTACAGGGGTAGGGGTCGATAGGGTTAACATACTATTATATAATGTCAATTTACACATTACACAAATGTTTATTTATGTGGCATCCGTTGGCATCTCGAAAAAACTATGAATCTGCGATGTCGCTGTGCTGTTTTCTTTCTTTCTTTCTTTCTTTCTTTCTTACTTACTTACACCCCGGCAGCAAGCCTCCGTTTTCCTCTTCTCTCTCCAGCCCTCAGTGTAAATCGCGTCTCCAGCGTGGGCGATCGTTGGCAACGTCCACATCCATTGCTTTTATGTCACTTTTGCAGACGTCCTTGAAGCGAAGATAAGGTCGCCCTCGTTCAAACTTGCCAGTTCCATCATATAGAAGGACGACCAGAATCTCTCCCATCAGTAGACTAACTATTGTTTCCCGTATTTTGTCGCCGCGGTGAAGCGATGCTGGAGTGTCCTCTCCAGGGCGCAGGCCTTGGCAGGGTTTTATGAGAGATCAGCAGTTG